AAAATTTATTTTTCTAAAAGGTTTTTCTCTTAAAAAAAAAAAAAAAATACACACACATATATATATATATATATATATATATATATATATATATATATATATATATATATATATATATATATATATATATATATATATATATATATATAAAAATTCTCATTGTAACAATGAAACTTTCTCAAGTCCAAATTCTTTGTCGGTTCTATGAGTTGATGCCATTCATAAGATAACCCAGCCGTCAGTTTGCCATTTTGTGCTGGACACGGCACAGGTTGGATGAGAATTTGTGTCCCTTAGTTAAATTTGAGTCTCGTTAAATCACTAGAATTAAATGTTTTCCTGCTTTATATTGAGTTGCTGTGCTTTTTCTCTAAGTGCTTAAGCTTGGACAATCGTTTGTTTGTTGACTAGCTGAGAAAGTAAGCAGCAAAAGTCTTATTTATTTATGTATTTATTTATTTTTATTTATTTATTTATTTATTTTTATCAAACATTTATGTGACCTGCAGGGGTTATGCCACCCAGGGCGGAGAGCCATATTGTCCATATCACACTGTCACACTGATGATCTTTTTGGTATTTTTGTGAGTATTTGGCATACAGATGTTACAATCATGCAGAATTTGAGTGTTAGTTTATTTCTATGTTCAGTCTGACTCATCGTGGGTGAGAAAAACTAAATCTTATATCTCTGGCAGGTTGATGATGATTATGAGTGTTGAGTCTTTTTCAACATGATCCCAAATGAGAAACCGTGGCAAAATCAGGGGTTTCTTTGTTAGCACTAATGCTACAAACAAACACAGTGGGGTAAAAGGTGTCGCTTTGTATTTAATAGAACCCATTAAATAACAGCCTTTCTGATATGAGGTAATATCCACAACAGGCTCTATATCCAAAATCAACAATTAAATCTCTGATTCGACTTTCAAACACAGCTTAGAAAAGTCTAAGAACGGGTTTATTATGACAGTGTAATCTCTGAGGGCATGTTTATTTTGCTATTCTTTTATGATGCCTTTTTCTCCTTCTGTGTTTTTGATCATTAAAAAATAATTTAATTGTCAAGACGAAGGCAGGCTAATTAATTGACCACGACTGCCTCTATATGCGCTGACAGTTTCGCTGTAGTTTGATATAGACAATAGAAATATTTACTTAAAAAGTAATTGCTGTGACACACACACACACACACACACACACATGCATGCACACACATAAACACACATATACATAAAATAAAACAAGGCTACACAATACCATT